CGCGCGGCTCCTCGCCCAAGCAGTCGCCCAGCCGCCTGGCCAAGTCCTACAGCACCAGCTCGCCCATCAACATCGTCGTGTCCTCGGCCGGCCTGTCCCCGATCCGCGTGACCTCGCCCCCCACCGTGCAGTCCACCATCTCCTCCTCGCCCATCCACCAGCTGAGCTCCACCATCGGCACGTACGCCACCCTGTCGCCCACCAAGCGCCTGGTCCACGCGTCCGAGCAGTACAGCAAGCACTCGCAGGAGCTGTATGCCACGGCCACCCTCCAGAGGCCGGGCAGCCTGGCAGGTAAAGGCTCGCTGCCACCTGGCGCGGCTCACCTGGGCGCGTGGCGGGGGCGCGGAGGCAGCAGCCGGCTAGAGCAGAAGCGAAGCCGGGAGCGCTGTCGGCCAGGTTGCAGTAGTGACAGGAGATAGAGAACGCCAGGGCTTCCCTGGAACAAGTCAGTATCTTGCCTACAGTTTGTCAGTGACTTCTCTTGGGGAGTAATGTGGTGTCTCAATCTCTAACACCTGTCTCACTCTCTTCTCTCCTCTCTTCTCTCTCTGCCCTCGCCCCAGTCTAAAGACTAAATCATAAAAGTAATACACATTTAGGAAAGCATTCCATAGACCGGTTGATGGTATCCAGAAAAAAGCAAAACAAGTAACATTTGCAATATTGACAGGGTCACCTTTAGTTGTCTACATGTCTACATTTCATTGTGGAAAAAGTAAGGGATTTTCCCAGATTAGATGTTCAGCTTACATAGTTTTCAATGATAGTAGGGAAATAACGAATAATGAATTGCCTTGAATTATGACCCTTTTGTTTTGGCTTGAATTTATTTACATCTTTGCTAAATTAGTTATTGGGAAAACTAATGGACTCTCCCATACCTGCCATTGGATATACTTGGGTCCTAACACTTGGGACAAAGTCAGCAATGATGCAGTCCCTTGAATTTGTACCTGCTTTATTACAGGGAGGGAGGGGCTGGGTTGGGGGAGACAAACCTGCTTTCCTCTGCCAATTTAGAGGAGGTGACATTTCTGTGGTCGTTATGCCCGTCAGCGACCAGGCTGAGCTGGTGCCTCTCTGCTGTTAGCACCATATGCTCAGCTTAAACAAGACACCATGATTGAAAGACTAGTGTTTTGTCTTCTGAAACACCTGACAACTAACCCGGATTTATTGTGAATTTTTTTCCCTTATAGAAGTATTTGGTAATTGTGTCACTCTAGTAACAGATGCTGTGCTCATATGCTTCCTTTCTTGACACAAATAGATGACTGTGAAGATAAATAGGATTAAAAAAAAGGAACTTGTTGCATGCACAAGGCAGGTGGCCAAGGGCTTCTTTAATTCAGCACAGTTAATTGCCAGTGTGGACTGGTCTGGTCTAACAGGATTCAGGCTGGAGTGCCGCTGCCCACAAAATTGTGCTAGCTACATTCACTGAAATGAAAATATTCTCTCACTCACTGCCTCTCTCTCTTAAATAGAATTTTTGAGGTAGACAATTATTAGTGCCAACCAAGTGCGAGTACCAAAATCTTTATGCTATAGGGACTCAGGAGTAGCGGTCTGCTTAGAAAAGGGGGCGGGGGAACATGTACTGAAACTTCATGTATATGATTCTGTAAAATAAGTTACCAGATCATGTCAAGAAGTGGGAGATGGGTGGAGTTTTTATGAGACTCTATGACACCCTTCTCAGCCATGCCCACCACCACAGAGAAGAGCAGACTGAGGCACCGGGAGTCCAGGTGGCCTACTACAGGCCATTTCATTTCTTATACTTACCTCATGAAAGAAATCAGGAGTCTTAGCTTCCGGTTCTTTCTCACACGGGTGATATGTGTAGACTTTTGCATGTTCTACTCTATCATTTCAGTAGCAATCGAGAGGGTGACCACATGGCTGACGATACCTGTGGAGAGGTTAGGGGAGGGTGAATGGAGCTGAATAGAGCCAACAGCTCCTATCATTGTGTCTAAGAAGGGGCTGTAAAAGTACATTGTAAAAATAACTTGTGTTGCACTTGGGTTACACTGTGGCCCAGGTAAGGTATAAGGGACAAACCCTATGCTTCTGAGAGATTAGGAATATTGGAACTCCGAGACCCCCATGCCTTATTTGGTTTGCTTGATACCATTTGAGGTGTTGTGAAGTTGGGAGCTACTTGGTTTGCTAGTTGAAAGAGCACAGTTAGGTCACGATGGCAAAACAGCTTTTGGAATTTCGGGGTTGTGATTTTAGAGATTTGTCACTGATGACTAGGAAGGGTAGATAAAGGATAAGTAGTGACTTTCACTAATTCATCATTCTGTATACACACACACACACACACACACACACACATACACATACACAGAGTCTCACTCTGTTCATTGCCCAGGCTGGAGTGCAGTGGTGTGATCTTGGTTCACTGCAACATCCACCTCCTGGGTTCAAGCAATTCTCCTGCCTCAGCCTCCCAATAGCTGGGATTACAGGCGCCTGCCCCTATACCTAGCTAATTTTTGTATGTTTTGTAGAGACTGGGTTTCACCATGTTGGCCAGGCCAGTCTCAACCTCCTGACCTCAAGTGATCTGCTCGCTTTGGCCTCCCAAAGTGCTGGGATTATAGGCCTGAGCCACTGCACGTGGCCACCTTCGATAATTACCTTTAAGCACCTTTTATGTACTGCCACTGATTTAGATCCCAGGGATGAAGTATCAGCCCAAATCCCTGGCCTTGTTTCAAATGAGGAAGACAGAAAATTATCAAAATACTTTTGATAGATGGCCAGGGAAGGTTCTAATTAGGAAGTGACTTTTTAATATATATATTGATACATATATTTTTTGTTTTAGATTCAGGGGGTACCTCTCTGGGTTTGTTAGCTGGGTATATTGCATGATGCTGAGGTTTGGGGTACAGTTGATCCTGTCACGCAGGTACTGAGCATAGTACCCAGTAGTTTGTTTTTGGGTTTCCAGTGATGCCATTAGTTAGTACACAGTACTTATACAGAAGGTAACTTTGAATCTGTCCTCACATAGGTGAGTGAGCTGGCCCTATGACTATCTGGGAGAAGGTTTTCTAAGCAGAAGGAACAGCAAGTTCAAGGGCTTATAAATGGGGGTGTGTCTGATATGTTTGCTGAGTAGCAAGGAGACCGGGGGTTAATCAGAGAGAACAAGAGCAAACACGTGACTTGAGGTCAGCGAGGTGGGAGTGGAAGGCCAAGTCTGAGAGGCCTTGTACTTTAGATATGTTACATAAATAATGTACTTTACATATGTTACATAAATAATTACATACATTACATAAATAATGTAACATATGTAAAGTACCAGCACGTTTTCTGGCTCAATAGAAGTTAACTCGTATTAACCTAAGTAATACCTACCATACTACCTTGGGTGTGCAAGGAAGAAGTCATCCATCTTTGCTTCAGACATAGAGCAGGTTTATTGAATCCCAAAACATGTCAGTGTCTGTGTCGGGCATATGCAGATAAGTGAGGCATAACCCCTGGTTTCAAGAGACCTACTTTCAGACTGGACACAGGACTGGTCAGTTTTAAACCCAGTGCAGAGTGAAATAGAAGCTAGTTACTATGGGAGCATGCTAGCAGAGCATCTTGCAGTGGGGTTCAGTGTGCATCCGGCATTCTTCCTCGATGAGGTGGTCCCAGAGCAAAGCTGTAAAGTAGCCACTAGAAAAAACAGTAGCCAGAACAAAGTCAGAGTTGAGAGGGTGTGTGTGGGGTGCAGGAAGGCAGGGGAAGATAACCGGCGGCTGAGTGTTTCTTGAGCAAAGACAGAGTGGTAGGAGTGGTGAAACATGAAGGTGCAGAGGGAGGTAAGGCTGCTGCATCCCTCCGTAACGGGCTTAGCATTTTATCCGTCCAGCAGACAACTGACATGGTCATATTTGCCTGTTAGAAACTTTGTTCTGGGAAGTATGTGGAGGCCGAAATTACAAAGAAAAAATGGGCAGGGAATCACTTTGGAAACCACTGAAATAGTCCTCCACTGCTTCTTAAAGCTCGTTCTCGTTTGTTTTGAAATGGGACAATACAAAAATTATCACTTATAAATGGTTGAGAAAAAAGGCTAGTCAGCGACATAACCTACTTTTTCTATTTTTTCCTGACCCAAAGTTTGATTTAATTTTTTTATAAATTAAGAATTAAATGTATTATTTTAAGAAATCTCATGTAGTCTCCAGCAACGTAATGAGGCTGACATGATTTTTACCCCCATTCTACAGATTTGAAAATGAGAATGTTTGCCCAAACAGTACCCTTGCCCAAAGTTACTTGTCTAGAAATGACAGAGTTGTGATTTGAACCTACGTCGCTTTGACCCCAGAATCTCTGTAGTCTTAAATGTACGTGATGCATAGTTAGAGGTAGTATATTTTTGTGTCAGTGGAGAAAAACACGAAGGATGTAGAAATGCAATATAAGTTTTCAGCTTATTTAAGTGACTCATGATTTTAAAGAAAGTAATAATAATATCTAAAAAAATTGTCAACATCCTATTGAATGTGTGACTGTAACTTCATCGGTACCAATTTTTGTTCACTTTTACAAAGAAAATAACATAATCCTTTCACTTTGGGGATTTATAGCTAAATTAATCCTGTTTTGAAAAGAAATACGAGTTGTAAATATGCATTAAAGTCAAACATCAGAAACTTATTTTGAGGTAAAATTGAAATGAATGAAATGGAGACTCTTAACCAATGATTTTCATCAAAATTGACCTAATATGGAGAGGAATTTGGTCAAGGCATGTTTAACTTGTCCCCCATTCAAATGGACCTGAAACTCAGTATTTAGAGTGGATCGTGCACTGTAAACGCTGAATCTTTACTGTTTAGAGATTTCAGACCCATTCCCTGACTGGCTAAGTCTTCCAGGTACACTTTATATAAGGAAGAAAAAAGAAAAAAAAGAGTGTAATCCTAGATGAAAGCTTTGCAGTCTCTGCGGTGAGGTTCTCAAAGGAAATGTGAAGTCTACTAGGGTAATGAGTGAGTTTGTTTCGGCCAGGGCTCCTGGGATGGGGTCAAAATGCAACTTGGTATCTGGCTCCTGCTGCTCCTTCCAAATCATTTTGGAAAGCTAATCTTCCTGTGCCGTGGACAAGCATTGCACAGTTCTCAAGAACATTCTGCTCACTCTAGTGCTAGATATTTAGATTTTCCCACCATCACTTAAAAAAAAAATTCCAGTGTAGATTTACTAATTAGAATATGATCGACCTGTGATGTCAATCAACTTTAACCTTATAAAGGTGGTTAAGGCTG